GGGAGGAGGGGTGAAAAGAATTTTAGAATGGTTAGTAGCTTTTAGTGGGACCCGCGGGTTAATGAAAAAGAAATTTAAGAAGAAAGAAGGAGAATAGGAGAGGGGTGCAGGGACGTATGTTTATTATTTATTATAGAATGCTTTACTTGTTTATTCAGATGCTAAATGATGAAGAAAAAAATAACTTTTTTACGGAAATGAATTGATACTTTTCAAAGTAATGAAATATTACACCAACCTATGTTGTATAACACAAACATCTTTGCACAGAAAAGTAGAAGAGAGAGAAAAAAATTTAACACCTATTGTAAGTATTTAACGGAAGGGACTTAATTGAGACAAATTTTACCAAATGAGGATATAATTGACACTTTTTTAAAAGAAGAAACTTAATTGACACAATTCATCATAACTGGAGACAAAATAAGCTATTAAGCCGAAGATAATTCTCTAAATCCACCACCTCCTGCTTCAAACCCATCTGCCAAACGGGCATGCTATATGGACGACTATGCAACCTCAACACTCATAATTTTTACTAATTTTTTACTCATAATATGCCGATTGTATTGCATTTGGTATTGAGATCTTTGAAGCTGCCTTTGCAAAGCCCCGTACCACCCGTGGAGTTGCTTATCATAAGATTCCTCATAATTATGAAGGCAAGTCTTACTTTTTTCATAGTATGCATTGATACCCTGTATTTAGAAAAATAAACATGAAATATTAAGAATTAAGCAAAAGCATTGACATACACAAGCAAAACTCTGTTAAGAAACAGAAGCAGCTGAAGCACAAACCCCATTCAATCCAGCTGATGGTAATAGTGCATTATCCGTTTCTTGACAATGATTCACTGGTTTCAGCTTTCTATAACCATTCTTAGGCCACTTCAACTTAGAGATAGTTTCCACGGAACCAAAAAATCCAGAGAGACTTGCTACCTTGTGCACATTTTTAGGCCCTCTCTCTTTCTTCTGCTGTCACGGTTCTTTTTCTTGCAGAAGCACTTTCATAAAATCTGAAGCGCATTTCAACTTCCTCTTCTTGCTCAGCAGAGGCTTCCTGTTCATCTGCACTTTCACAAATTGTATTGGTTTTAAAATTTCCTTTATAGATACACAGATCAAGAAAGAAAAAGGAGTCAAAAGGGACTACTACTAGGACCTGATTTTCGCTTCTTTCTTGCAGTTTTTTTCATCCTTTCCTCCATGGAAGCACGTAGTTTAAATTCTTCAGTAGATCTTTTAAACTCGACTGCGTTAAATTGTACTCCTATGTTTCTGGTGAATCGATTATCCAATGAATTGGCACTTTTGGAACAATGCGCATCACTATCCTCTCCCCAGTTTGTGCTATTAAGTTTAGATCCATTGAACAGATTCTGTAATGCTGGAGGTGTATAACTCTTTGGAGGCGACATTTAATCTACTGAACAAGCAAGAACTCTATTTTGCAATGAACTTGGAGCAAGATGGGAAGGTGATGAATCCAAGATTTCAATGGAATCTTCATCATACATTTCTTCAAAAAATTTAAGAAGATTTGCAAAGTGAGGCCCTTCATTATTGCATCGTATGGCTGATTGATAGTTTATCTCAGAAGTAGCCAAATTAAAAACATGAACATTGAAACCTGACTTTCCTTCGTATCTGAAAACCAACATGTATCCTACGCCAATGGAATAGTGCTGAATAAACTCTTGCCAACCGTCACGGAACCAATATTTGTTGTCTGCCTTTTTCAACCCTACACGCCGTACACTACCATCAGGAACAGAGAGTGTAACAATTGGAGAAAGTTCACCCCCCCATATTTCGGATCAGAACAAGACAAGATAAGTTCTGATCCCAAGTTTGGTGAGGACAAAGAAGAACAACAAACACGGTTTACCACTGCAGTCCATTAAGTAGTTAAATTATTAGTTAATTTATATAAGTTCAGATTTTTATATATTATTTTTTTTCAGTTTTTTTAGTTTATTAAAAGTACAGTTTAGTATACTTTGGTTTGCCCAGCCCTACTTGAAGCTAAGGTTCATTCGAAGAGCTACGAAGAGATTCTGGCAACGAGTTAATGATTCTGTAATTGCTGGACTAGAGGACTCAGTGCACGTAATGAAGTTGATTTATAAAGGAGAAGGAGATAATCAAACCGGCAGAAAGAAAGAAGAAAAGATCCAAGGACTGAGGAAGACGCGAACGGTTCTTAATCAAATGTAGAGACGAGTTTCAGAGAAAACTTCACGAAGCTTCCAAATTTGTTTTTAGTTCTTTTTCCTTTTTCTGTTTCTGACTTTCTCTATAAAAAGGGAAGTCTTGTAATATACAGGGTGTGAAGTGGGTGACACACATTGCACCTAGTTTAGAGTAATTAAATTGTATTCTAGAAGAGATTTTTGACTGGCTGATATTCTTTTGGAGGTTTAAGTTGTAGCTAGGTTAGGCTAAATGTGGGGAAGGAGGAAAATGTGTAGTGAGAAATAGCATTCTAGAATGGGAAAATCAATATCCTATGCTGAAAATTCTTTAGCACTGCATTGTTGACGGGCAATATTTTGTTCTCTTCTGTTTCCATTTTTTTCATCAAATTTTTTTCATCAATTCTTTAGCACCTTATATATGGAATTCATTCTATTGCATGTGACATTATGTTTTACCTAAATCCTCTTTGCAAAATGACATACTACCTCAAGGCAGTTCTTGTTAGTTCACTGGTCTCAACTGGATGGAATTTTATTCTAGAATTAACCTTCTATGATTTTCCTATTGCAGAGAACTGAATGATAATAATTTAAGTGGACATATTCCCCTGAGCTTGGAAAACTTACTAATTTGTTTAACTTGTGTATGGTATATAGTGTAGACCGAACGGTATGTTTCTCGGACCAACACATTATATGCAGGAACAACTTGTAAGAGTGGTTACCTTGAAGCGTCAATTATGTTTGCTTTTGTTGTAAGTTTTATGAGTCACCCATCATTCCATCATTCCATCATTCCATCATTCCATCATTCTTGCAGAAATGTTGCTAATAACAATCTCGAAGGAACAATTCCTAGTAATATTAGCTCTTGTAAAAATCTCAACTGCCTGTAAGCAACTAAACTTGCACTAGTACTTTGTTACAATGTAGTTTATCTAATGCGTTAAGGTGACACTTTCATACCCTTTTAGCAATGTGCATGGAAACAAGTTGAATGAAACAATTCCCCCTGCTTTGCAAAGCTTGGAGCATGACCTCTTTGTAAGTTTCACCTTGATACATGAGCAACATTTACCTTAATGGACTTGCTATTCCGTTTTTTTTTTCTTTTAATGCTGTCTTTCCTATAAACACGTTGACGCACACACGAACTCCTGCAAGCACACTTAACTTATACTACCATGCCTCAACCAATTATCCTTTTGTTTAATTGGTTATTATGGCTTCATGACATTGTTATGGTCATCCTCAGGAATCTTTCTTCCAACAATCTTCAGGGTGCAGTTACATTATTTAAGGCAGCCATTCTTGGAATTACTCTCGGTGCCCTTGTGATTCTTCTAATGGTATTTCTGGCAGCTTGCCGACCACACACTCCTCCTTTTCATGATGGATCACTTGACAAACCAGGTACTTATCTTTGTTTCATCCTCACATTGTAAGCTGTGGCCTTCAATCACCATAGGTTCAAAGAGCAAGCTGGGGTTTTTTAGATTTCAGCTGTCTTTAGATACTTTAGTACCTAACCTTAAGCCAGCAGTGTTAGAAAATCTGAAATTGATTGGATTGTGTAATTGTATGCATTAAAGTTTACATGCCAACTTTTAACTCTATTGGATTTTGTAAGGTTTATAATCATCTGGCAGTATTTTATTGCACTCTACCCTTTGAAACATAATTTGACGAGTTACTGACTTCATGAACTATGGAATTGACAGTTAAATACAAGCTATTAGAATAATTCACAGGGATGTGAAATCATCAAACATTTTATTGGACGCAGACTTTGAGCCCCATCTCACTGATTTTGGCATTGCCAAAAGCCTCTGCCCCACAAAGTCTCATACTTTTACTTGACTTGCTAACTGGAAGAAAAGCTGTTGACAATGAATCCAACCTCCACCATCTGGTGAGTCTACTACACATTTTCATGGGCTTAGATATATATTTTGGAAATCAATGACAACATTCTATTAAGAAGATTACTGAGATAAAAATTCAATTTTGATTTAGAATACCCAATACATATCCATGAAACTGCACTTATTATTCAAGATTGCAAAATCTAGTTGCTATAAATCACTGTTAACTTATTGTTAACACTATTCTTATCCGTCTCGTTCACATATGGCTCTTTTTGCAGATTTTGTCCAAGGCAGCAACCAATGATGTATAATAGAGCGAGTTGGTAAACCTTTTCTAAAGCTCTTGGTTTTTGCATGTGGCAGTAATGTCTGGATCAACCGTTTCCATTACAGCATTGGTTGCTGCCTTGAACAAAATCTGCACAAACATGAGCCATTACTATGTATGTGAACAAGACAGACAAGAATCAAGTGTTAATAACAAGTTAAGAGTAGGGCTGGGCAAAATAACTTTAACTATACTGATCATAATTAACTGTACTATTTTATACTAAAAGTAACTAATTCACTTATACCAAAAACTAATTAAACTATTATCTAGTTCAGTTAAGAAAAACTGGACATATTATTTTTTCAGTACAGTTAACTGAAAACCATTTGCTTATTTTTAATGTTTTCACATCACTCTGTGACTCTGACATTTGAGGCCTAAGCGAGGTTGGGGTTGAGGGAGGCTAGTCGTCAAGGATCCCTGTCACATTTGCTATTGCTCCAATCGTCCTTGTCGTGGTTGTTGCTGCGTCGTTTGTCGAGGGGATCTGCCGCTGCCGCACCGACCATCAAGGTAAGCAGTGATTTGATTATTGTGTTTGAGCTTGTTTATTTTTGCTTTCACCTCTTTGTGCTGCTGTTTTACTTTGTAGGGTTTTGAGAAAGACAGCAGTTAATGTCCTCAGTTCAATGACTTGTGTTGTGTTGTGTTTATCTTCTTTGGTTATTTTAGGTTTCGTTCAAGATTATGTATGTTTTATTAGTGATGTATGTTGTTCAAAGCTTAGACTTTTTTACAGGAATTTGATGGAAACTAATGAAAGATTGTTGCTTTGGAAGGGTGTTATATGATTTTTTGCTTTTTGTCCATTGGGTAAATTGGTTAACTCTGTTTTTTATATTAACTCCATGTTTAGACAGGCTTTCAGGGTGACATTGGATAATTAGTTTGTTTTGATTGAAGCAGGATAGAGTTTAGGAGAAACCTGTGTGGATTTTGGGGAATCATTAAGTAATTGTATGCTTTGGTTTGTATTTGTTGGCCTTAGATTTTATTCAAAACCATGTAATTGTGTAAATGATGATGTGTAATTAATTGGAACAAAGATTAAAGAAAACACTAATAAGATAGTAAGCATGGGTTGGAAGAAGTCAACTAATATGTGTGCTTATTCTCGTTTCTACATTAAGTTGCAGGCTAAACAGTGCAAGATAGATGACCATTGAAAACATTCAGTGGGCATACCCGACACTGACTTGAGAAGAAAGATTTAGTTATCACGAGAGAAACGAGAGGTTCATGGTTGAACTGGCCAAGTATAAAATATGTAATAACACTCACAATATTCAGTTAACAAGTAAACTAGCTGCTCTAATATGTAAGTGAAAAAGAATAATACATTATTCATGCGACATGAATATCATGATAGAGAACAATGTATTAAACAACAAGACTTGCAATAGTTAAAAAGTAAACCAACTAATCACAGTATCAAATAGAACTTACAAGCTGATTTTGAGGCGGCAAGCAAGGCTAGCATCAAGCAGCAGAAGACAAATATGAATAGCAATTTAGCCATATCCCTATGTTCGTGTCCATGTCCTCATTTCATAG